TAAGTCACTGTGTTTTTTGTTGTTCAAGGATGGCGATTAATACTAACCGTCGCATCCCCTATCCGCAAGTCACTACAAATTACTAATAAGAGTCAATGAGTCAAGTAGTCCGCTTGCATTTACCTCAGGCAGCTATGGCACCAAATTGAAAGATTCTGTGTGATGAGTCGCTCTTTCATAGCGGAAGTCGCGCTCGCTTGTTCCATTGCAACCTGTCGGCTGCATTTACATGTCTATTGCGGTATGCTTAATTTAGGTTGGTAGCTGTCGCAACCTTAGTTACGATTTGCATGACATACTTATACGTAGCTTACGGCTAACAAACGTCTATCCTATTGCTATGTTTGCTCATCTTTTTCTTCAACATGGCTCTTCTTCTTTCTTTGTGCTTCTCATCCTAGGTGTACAATACTTCGCGTACGTTTCTATGGTTTTATATTTAGGTAGAATAAATGTATTTTCTGTTTCTCTGTGTTTATACATGTTTATACTTGTGAGTTTATACATAATTGGCATGTGTGATCTCTCTACATTTTAAACATAAATATTTATACCTACGTATACGTTTGCATGGCCTAACGACGCTAATACATTGCTTCTACAGTTTTATGCGCTTTTTGTTTTTCTTCTCTTTTTTTTTTTTATTTCTTCTTTTTTTTGATCGCATGTGCCTATACATGTTAAAGGTTTTATATGGCCTGACGGCGTTTATACATTTTGTGTAATATTATGTGTGTGTTTGTACTCTTTGCGCGTACGAGTATCTGTAGATTGGTATGCATTGCTATGTGTGATTCTATCGTCTATACGTTTTGCCTGATCCTGTATTGATTGTAGAGCATAAGGGTTTCTACCTGTTTATATACCCTAACGGGGTTTATACCGTAATGCATGATGTGTACGCGTTTCTACAGCCTTATGGAGTTTAACGTATGCAGATTTTGTATGTTGCTGTAGCTGTACACATTGTTAGATGTGATTCTTTGGTATATGCGTTTGCATGAGCGTGTGTGCTCATGCATTGTGAATCATAAGGGTTTCTACGTGCTTATATGACCTAACGGCGTTTGTATAGTAATGTCTAATATGTATGCGTTTCTCCTGTGTGCTTCTACGATTTAAGGTATTTTTATACTTGTGCGGGTTTTTACCTATTTCATATGGTTTTATACCGATGTTCGACTTGTGGCTGTGTTATATGATTTTACATGTTCTATGCCTATGAGCGGTTTCGTACAAGTTTTATTCATTCTAACGATCTTATACCCATTTTTCTCGTGCCTGTGTTACATATTCTATGTCTTGGAGCCATTTCATACATGTTTTGTTCATTTATCTTGCACTTACGCGGTTGTGTATATATTTTGCTGGAGGAGGTTCTTCACGCGTTGGTGACAAAAGACGTGCACGGACAGAGCAGGCTGACAGGTTGTACGCTGTGGGTAAATGTTTTGGCGGACGGACTTGTATTCCGTAAGGAAGCAAAAACGCTTCCTTACACGCGATAGCTTAAAAATTCATTAAGATTCCTATTATTTATCAGCTGTTCTGGATTCTCTTCTAACATTTTCGCCCATTCGGTGCCCTCCAGGGCTTTATCAGCAGGAGCGAACATTGTTAAATTATCCATATCGTGGAAAGCATTATCCAACCCAGAAATTTCCAGCAAACTTCTGAATATAGTGACGTTTTTTTCTTGCATAAGCGAAGATAAAGGCAAAGCGGTCTCTGTAGGCATAATAGTATCTATAACATGCACAACGCCATTTGTTCCCATAATATCAGTTTCTACGACCTTCGCTACACCGTTAATTACAATGGGTTGAGGTTGTTCTATTTCACCGCCATGCGTAGAACGATTGAACCGCATTGGTTGACCTAGTAAGTTGTAAGCGGTAGTCTTTGCCCCAGGCACTGAAGCAATTGAGCAGAAAGTTAAATCAAGCATGTGATTCTTAAGTATATCTACACAGTTAAGGAATAAAAACCAGTTAGCATCAATTTTTGGATTTTATTCAAACGAAACCTACTTGAAGCACAGCCCTTGCCTTCTTTTAAGACACGTCGTAAATGTGATTCTAGTTTGTCAAAAGCATCATCAGTGGGTACAAAGATTGTCAACGGTTTTTCCCCTTCCAATAAATCGCTTAATTTAGTCTTTTCAAGTACAGTACGCATAATTGACATATCTCTACGGTCGCGTATGATATCCATTAAATTCTTATTGACAGGTTTCATAATTCCATCCAAAGTATGGATCATACCTTGCTCGGTTGACTTATCGTGTTTTAAAATGGGTACACAGTTGGCCGTATAACGATAGGGTTCGGGGCTGAGTGATAAAGGCACTTGATAGCTGTTAATGCGTATATTCTGCCCGCCGACTTGTGTTTTAAATAGTTGTTCATTACGTACTTCATCCATGCTAACTTCACCATCAACAACATGACGTAAGAATAATTTCTTCATACCATCGTCGTTTTGCTTTTCCACCAAATTCTAAAAGCAACAAATTAACTTAATTCCAAAAATACTAATCAACAATGCATGATTAATTACACTTTCACTTTGCAATAAATCTGAATAGCTGCTGAAGGCTTCATCTACAGGCAAAAACATGGTAAGGTTTTCACGTGACATTATCATGTCATTTAGTCCACTATTTTTCGCTTTGATCACAAAGTCTTTGGCGCCTACGTCGGCTGCGGTAGATTCTACATCTTTTATCTCGATTTTATCACATGGCGTAGCATAAGCAGCATTCCGTGGACGTTCGTAACCATGACAGCATTGTCTGGTAATGGTTAAGGTTTTTTTCCGGCCGTTCTTGTTAACGCTAAGCAAATAAAACATATTTAATTTATTTTACGTGTATATTATATGATGATGACACATACACTCGCTTGCATATATATTTGCTTGGCTTTTCTACACAGGAGTTCATGCTGAAGTGGAACTGTCCAAAGTATGGCTGTTTGACTTGAACAGTGGTGTCAGTGTCATCGGCAGTTTCAGTTTTTTCGTTTCCATCATTTTCATCCATAACCTTTTCATCTTCCACTATCTAAGTGCACACGTTCGGGCTAAAAGTAATAACGAAAGGAAAACTTTTAGTTTAAGTGAGCAAAAAAAAGGGTTAAAAACACTATTGTGAACGCGGATCGTTGAACTAAACGAAGGTGACCATATAATATAACGGTAATTTTTATTTATACCTAGCGCCTTAATCATAAGAAAGACAAAATTCAAAACGAAAAAGTGAAATTCTCACACTTGTAGTGAGCAAAAATCCAAAAAACCGACGTACTCCGTGTTTATGTTGATCATTACATGTGCTCTTGGGCCGATTTAGCCCATTTCCAATACTAACTTGCGTAAAAAAATATCCAATGTTCTTCTCAAATTTAAAAACTATATATTGCTTTTTGCGAACGGAAAAGTGTAAACTGAGAATGTTTCTATCCTAAAAACCTGGGAAGTTGTCTTTTTTGCTGCTTATTCATGTGGTATAACAAATATAACTTATAACACGAAAATTTTCATGCATAGTCATGATCCTATAACTCCTGTACAAAAATGAAAAGTATTAGTCACGCTCACAAAATATTATAGCTCGTCAAAATATCTTGTACGTCTTCTATGAGTTACCGAATCAACAATCGATGTTGATAGTTGTTCATCATTGAGTAGAGCGAAAAAGGTTCAATATGAACATGAGATTTATAAAATTGACAGATGACTTGATTACAAATGTATACAGATGAGTATATTGTAAAAGTTTTTGATTTTGTTGAATTTATAGAATTTGTTATCGCAGTACACTGCTGCGGTTTTGACCCCAATCTGCTCGGCTGCAGAACGCCAAGTCTATCCGTCTCATACAGTGCCAATAGAGCTCGGCAAGAGACGGTACCTAATTTTTATAGCTCAGGCGAATTAAACGCCTTTTGACCATTAGCGAATGAAACGCTCAATTTGAATTGCTTTGAAACAATTAAAATCTTTTTTTGCCAGGTGCATTATTTATACTAAAATCTATAGGTGATTTTATGCTAACGTTATCAATTATTTTAATTAGGGCGCCTGACATCGTGTTGCATTTCGTAATGCAATTCCCAGCCAGTTGAAGTGCGACCAAATTTTTGTCTTACTTTTTTTGCTGAATTTGCATTATTCTGTCGCACTTCAAAGTGGATGCATATGACGGTATCCGATCACACTACAATATATTAAGCAGGTTATGACATCCATCACGTAACTAGAATCAATATTGTCCTTCCCGCAAATTGTTCTGGTATTTTCTTTTCGTCCAAAAGAAGAAAAAGGAAAGATGATAAAGCGCAGAGATTACGAGATGAATTTCGCAGCGTAAGAAGTGCTAGGATGCTAGTGTGAGGAAGTGTCACGTGAAAATACCGAAAATTTTAGAAAGTAAAAGAGTATGTGAAGGAGTAGATCAATAAAGTGTATCTATTCCTGCTCAGAATCAAATTCTGTATTGATTTAAGTATGTTTGTTCGCCTGCGTAGTATTTGTTGTAAACGTTCACCTAGCCACAAAAGTGGAACTATTCAACTTCAACTTCAAACGTGGCAGAAACAATGGAAATTCTTGCACGCAGATTAACATTGAAAATTGTCCAAATATACAAGAAGGAAGCCTTAAAATATAAGACTTGTCTAAATCGTCTTGGAATCTTTCGCAAATTAAGACGCGCATTGTTAGCGTATTTCCTACAGGTGTATCAAAATTGTTTGTTCATTTCATGCTATCATATACTATTTATACTGTCCTGCTTGGTGCGAAGAAATTTTGTAAGTTGTTCTTCATGTCTCATTGTTTTATAGCTTTATAGGCGTTTAAAGAATAATTATTTATAAATTACAAAAGTGTTTAAATTAATTGAATAATATTGATTTTTTGTCGGGTACTTTGTTTTGTTTTTGCCATCGATGATGCTCGCCGAAAGAGGCTTATTACTCTTTCTCGCCTTTTTGTTTTGGTGAGTGTTTACAGTTGTTTTTCTTGGCTTGCTCTTTATTTACTGGTCTTTGAGAGATAATGTTTGTGTGCGAGAAAAACTTTCTTATTATTTCTCTTGTCTATTACTTTTTGACATGAAGTGTTTTTTGCATGTAGGACAAACACCGGCCTTGAATCTAAACAATTCATTACCTGTTCGTTGGCTTTGCGAACGCTTTTGTCATGTGAAGTGCGCAGGTATCAATGACCGTGCTGCAAATGCTGTCCTTGATCCTTCGAAGCGTTTACGTTGACAATGTTCCGACTGTAGGAAGCGGGATTTTGACCTTTATAAGCTGGTCACGGAGACAAGGACTGGGTTCTCTGAAGTAAGCTCAGAAAATCTCGTTACTTTGAGAAAATCAAGTCAATGTTCAATGAGTGTCGTTATCGAGAGCACTCATCTTCTTACCCAACCTGTACAAAATCGACTCGTAGTGTACCAGGACGTACTTCATCTCCGTCTTAGCCTAAATCTGATTCTTCGACTCATGTGAGTGTTCCATTCTTGTCCACAAAGAATGTTAGCGTTTGCGCTATCATTGGCCATTAATAAAAACTTCCAAATAAATTGGGATGCCACCCTCGTTCTAGCTATGCTGAAGTGGCAAGGATATCTCCTCTTGGTAGTACCATTCAGGCTACTTTGTGTATGGCTTCAAAAAATATAAACAGAAATAAGAAATCCGCCTTTCCTCCTGGTTGTTCGAGGGTGTCTGCTCGTCACCATGCTAGGCAAGTCGCAGAAGCGTGGTCACCCCGCCTATATTCTCGCCAACTTCTAACTCTCTACCTGCAAATCCTAAAATCCCATCCGTCAATTTGAAGCATGCAAGCATTTTCAAACCGGCTTCATCTTAACCTAAAGCCTTTTAAAGTGTTAGTTCCGACTTGCTCCTATATTCCCTCAAATACGTATATCGCTATTTGTAAGAAACTTTATGCTCCTATTTGTGATGTGGCCGAAAAGTCTAAATCTACTAATATAGTCATAACGCTAACGGGCTTCGACTTTCCGCAACCCAGTTGTTGTTGGAGTGCTAAATCTGGCTTTATTGTTCGCATTTCCACATTTGCTAGAGCTATTGTGTTTTGCAATAGAATATCTGATTGTAATTTACTTCAATACTACTGTACTCCTAAAATTTATGGAAAGAATGTGAGGTTTGGAAGGTTTAAGGTCTCTAAAATATAGTTCCAAGGCTCGAACTGATGGGATCCCATCATGAATACTTAAAACGCGCTCTGTCGAGCTATATAGTGCTATTTCAATGATTTTTAATCAGCCCTTGAAATCAGGCGTTTTTCCTTTGTGTTGTGTTTCTTTTTTTTTCTTTACTCCAATTGCGTTTACTTTGTCAAGTTGCTGTATTGGTTATTTTTTTTTAAATTTTTTTTTTTTATATAAATGCTTTTCTATTTTTTTTATTATAAAA